TGCTACTGTGGGGTGTCTAGGGGTGCAGTGGGGGTGCACCTGGCCTTCTGCTACTGTGGGGTGTCTAGGGGTGCAGTGGGGGTGCACCTGGCCTTCTGCTACTGTGGGGTGTCTAGGGGTGCAGTGGGGGTGCACCTGGCCTTCTGCTACTGTGGGGTGTCTAGGGGTGCAGTGGGGGTGCACCTGGCCTTCTGCTACTGTGGGGTGTCTAGGGGTACAGTGGGGGGTGCTCCTGGCCTTCTGCTACTGTGGGGTGTCTAGGGGTGCAGTGGGGGTGCACCTGGCCTTCTGCTACTGTGGGGTGTCTAGGGGTGCAGTGGGGGTGCACCTGGCCTTCTGCTACTGTGGGGTGTCTAGGGGTGCAGTGGGGGTGCACCTGGCCTTCTGCTACTGTGGGGTGTCTAGGGGTGCAGTGGGGGTGCACCTGGCCTTCTGCTACTGTGGGGTGTCTAGGGGTACAGTGGGGGGTGCTTCCCTGTTCATTTCTGCAGATTTGCACTGACTGTCCTTCCCTCCCTGGCATCTGGGGAACATGCATGGTGCCCTCCATGGTTAGGACAACAAAATATTAAGCACAACCTTCTCTTGCTATTCCAGGCCTTGCTGCTGCTATCTACCTCCAAGGATGTCCAAGTCCCTTGTAGAAGACATGTTACATAAATAGTATTCCATATAGTGTTCCATAGTTTCCATTCCCTCATATGCACTAAATAAGTGCTAGTATATGTGCTCCCCTGATCAACAGCCTCCTCCTCCATCTTGGTTCCCTCTCCTGGACTCCACATCCACCAAACGTTCTTTCTGATCCCTCTCCACTCTTCCAGGACCTTTCTTCTTCTTTCTAATGTTTATGGGTATTTTGCCTGTACATATGTTGTCTACCACATGCATGCTTGATGCCCATGGAGGCCAGAAGAGAACATTGGATCCCCTGGAACTGAGTTACAGACAGTTGTGAGCCACCATGTGGTTGATGGGAATTGAACCCTGGGTCCACTGGAAGAGCAGCCAGTGTTCTTCATTGCTGAGCCGTCTCTTCAGCCTTTCTTCCAGGGGCTTTTTCCTGCATCCTTTGCCTCTGGAGCTCTGCATTCCCTGACTGGAGCTGCTTAAGGATGCTACCTTTTCTGTTTGCAGCAGATCACAGGCATCAGACATTATGAACTTCAGAGCGGTACTTGAGCTCCTGAAGGTAAGTTTCCTCCAGGCAACATGGGGTTAATAATACAGGCTGACTGAGGATTACAGAGAGACCTCAAGGGTTTATTTATCCCCAGGTCAGTTCACAAGAAGTGTTCTATAAGTGGAACCCACAGGCTCACATTGCCTTGATGTGACTTTTTGTATGTGAACTTTTGTCCCAGCAAGTCTGGGCTCCATGCCTCTCCAGCCCCTCCCCTGGGCTCTGTTGCCACCATATCCAGCTTATGCAACTGAGTTTTATAAAATTATTTATTTATTTATTTATTTATTTAAGTTTTTCGAGACAGGATTTCTCTGTGTAGTTTTGGAGCCTGGCCTGGAACTTACTCTGTAGACCAGGCTGGCCTCGATCCGCCTGCCTCTGCCTCCTGAGTGTTGGGATTAAAGGCATGCGCCACTGTTATGGTGTTCCCGCCCGGTTCCACAGCCGCCTCAGAGCCTCCAAATAACACACGAGACACTATATTAATTATAATGCCATTGGCCAATGTCTAGGGCTTCTTATTGGCTAGCTCTAACCCATTTCTATCAATGTAAGTATTTCCATGTGGTCCTATCTTAACAGAAAAAAAAGTCAGGGTCTCTTACTCCATTGCGGTCACATCTCCTTCTGCCTACGTTTCCCAGAATCATCCTCTCCTAGACCCGCCTACCATGCTGCCTTATTGGCCACAGTATTTTATTCATCAACCAATAAGATAAACATATACAGAAGACCATTCCCCATCACGTCACTACTACCTGGCTAGCTTTATAATTTTAAAAATGTGTGTTTATTAAATATGATGGGTAGTTTGTCTGTATATACGCCAGTGTACCACATGCATGCCGGGTTCCCACAGAGGCCAGCAGAATCTGGAAGAGAATAGCAGATGCCTGGGACTGGAGTCACAGATGGTTGTAAGACACCATGTTGGTGCTGGGAATTGAATTTGGGTCCTCTGGGCAAGCAGTTAGCACTCTTAATCACTGAGCCATCTCTCTAGGCCCTATATAACTTATTTTTAGGCATCTTGTCCCCTCCTCCATGATTTTCAGTACCAGTTCTTGGACAAATCTTCACTCAATTTTAAAATGCAGTTACAAAACAAAGGCCCATTTTTCCATGTTTGAACCTAAGCACTTGCAGCTTTGAGTTTTATTTAGACCATGGAGCTACAGTCCACTTCGGTTGTCTAAGATCTACTAACGAGCAAAGATGTTCACCTTTATCTCTGGTCTTGGGTCTTGGCAGCTTGGCTGAACCCATTATTTCCAGGAGTTGTATCACTTTGTTTAAATGGAACATGTCAGAGGAATGGGTCAAGATTTAGGTAGCCCAGACTAGTTTCATTCCCAGGCTCAAGTGTCTTATCCTGAGCCTGCAGGAAAGAGCCAGGCTGGGAACCAGGGGCTGTCGTGGGGTCTTGAAGGCAAGAAGGAATTTGTTTGGTCTAAATTTTGTTTATATATGATAACACCACAATGAACCCATTGTTAGCTAGTGTCCTCGTGCTGTGAAGAGACACCATGACCATGGCAACTCTTATAAAGGAAAACATGTAATTGGGGCTGGCTTACAGTTCGGAGGTTTAGTCCATTATTGTCATGGAGGAACATGGCAGCATGCAGGCAGACATGGTGCTGGAGAAGACGCTGAGAGTTCTACATCTTGATCCGCAGGCAGCAGGAGACTGTGTACCACACTGGGCATAGTTTAAGCATATGAGACCTCAATGCCTCCACAGTGACACACTTCCTTTAACAAGGCCACATCCACTCCAAGAAGGCCACACCTCCTAATAGTGCTACTCCCTATGGGCCAAACATTCAAACACATGGGGGCCACACCTATTCAAATTACCACACTGATCATTCAAATAAATATTTTTCTAAATATTATTTATTTAGAGCTGGAGAATTGGCTCAGCAGTTAAAAGAGCAATTGTTGCTTTTGCAGAGGACCAGGGTTTGAATCTCAGCATCGACATGGAGGCCCACAACCATCTGTCATTCCAGTCCCAAGGGTTTGGATGCCTTGTTCTGACCTCAGCAGGCACCAGACACTTGTGGTGCATAATAAATGAATGCAGGTGAAACACTAGTAGTGTATGTGTGTGTATGTATATATATTTATGTGTGTATGTGTATGTATATATATGTGTGTATGTATATATATGTGTTTGTGTATGTATATATATTTATGTGTGTATGTATGTGTATGTGTGTATATGTGTATATATATATTTGTGTGTGTATGTATATATATGTGTGTGTGTATGTATGTGTATATGTGTGTATGTGTGTGTATGTGTGTATATGTATATATATATATGTGTGTGTATGTATATATATATGTGTGTGTGTATATATATGTATGTGTGTGTATATGTATGTATGTGTGTATGTATATATATGTGTATGTGTGTGTATGTATATATATATGTGTGCATATATGTATATATATTTAAAATAAATCTAAATAATTAAAAATAAATGGGCCAGGAGGTGGTGGTGCCTTTAAACCCAGAACTTGGGAGGCAGAGGCAGGTGTATCTCTGTGAGTTCAAGGCCGGCCTGGTCTGTTTACAAAGCAAGTTCCAGGACAGTCTCCAAAGTGACACAGAGAAACCCTGTCTTGAAAAAACAAAATGAATAAATTAATAAATGATGGGTTCATTATGGTGCTATCACACACATGCACATATATGTATTTATACTTTTTGTTCGTATTTCCAGACTGTCTGCTCCTGTCTGTCCCTGGTTTTTGACAGGGTCTTACATAGCCCAGGCTGACCTCAAACTATGTAACTAAGGATGACTTTGGCCTTCTGGTCCTCCTGCCCCGCCTCTTGACTGTTGGGATCACAGACAAGCATAAGCACACATCATTTATGTGGTGCAGACAATGAACCCAGTGGTTTATGCATGCAAGGCAAGTGCTCTACCAACTGAGCTATATCCCCAATTCTTGTCTCTCCATTTTACCTTTCTCTTTTTCCTCCTTCTTTTTGTACCCTGTCTCCTATTATTTAGGGATGTGTAAGTACCATCCCTAAATATGGGATGGCAGGGCTATGCAGGCTGTCATACTCCCATACTGCAATCATACAGTTCAATGAATTTGATCAAATCTGTCATTCTGTGACTGGCGTCACGTAACCATCTATGACACCTTCCTCACCTCCAGTCCTGCTTCTTTTTTTGTTTCCCAGAGTTCACAGGTCTGCTTTCTGCCTTTTCCTGAAATTCCATACAAATGTTATCACAGACTATCAAGTCTTTAGAATGTGGTTTCTTTCACTTAGCCCACATCTTTGGATGCTATTTTCTCCTTTTCACCATCTTTTGAAAGCCTATTCTTGTCTCTGTTTTTCTCTCTAGATTTCTGAGACTAGGTCTTGCTATATAGCCCAAGCTGGCCTCCGATTTATAATCCTTCTGCCCCAGTGCTGAGGCTGCAAGAGTCTACCACAGGCTGGTGATCTCTTCTCTTCCTTCATGCCCTCCACCACCATACACAATTTCCCCACCACCCATCTCTCATTTTTTTTTTAATCACCCTAAGTCTCAGCGGTCTTTGATTCCTTAGATGCAATGAGGAGAAAAATCACGGAGTACACGCCCACAACTGATCCTAAATGGCACCCAGCTCGCCCCAGCCCATGGGAACCTGAGATGTGTCAGACTCTGGGGGTGGGCAGCAATTAGACATGAAATGGGGTGGGAGTGGGGCTGTAGCTCAAGACTGGCAGCCTGGAAGGGAAATAAACACAAAACAAAATGGGAGAATAAAGTCAGTTTACTGAATGCATGGCTCCACTCCACTCAGGGTGGGCTGAGGCCTGAACAAAGGCCCTCAGCAGTGGGAGCCCAGGCTGCTGGGCTGCCAGAGTTGCTGGGTCCACTTGGGCTGCTGGGCTGAGGGGCTGCAGCAGGAAAGCCCACCCGGGACTCGGCTGTGTTGGCTGGGATGAGGTTGGTCCCCGTGGCTGCCCATGGATGCTCAAGCCAGACCCCTGAACGGAGTGGCACAGGTGAGAATGGTAACTGTGAACACATTGGCTTCAGTTTCAGTAAAGAGGAGGGAAGAAGGGAAGCACGGGGGCGGAGGAAGGCCATCTGGGTGGAGAGGGCTCTGCTGCACTCCTCGACCTCACTAGATGACCCGGCCCGGGTAGACACTGCTTTCATTACCATCTCCCGACTCGGAACCTAGAAAGCAAGACAACCTCTCAGGCTCTGGGGCCATAGCAGACTTCAGGATCTGCCACACGGAGCCTGGCACCTTTTTTCTCCCACCCTGGCCCCAGTGGCCAGACACACACACACACACACACACACACACACACACACACACACGGAAATGGACTCTGGGACAGTATGGGGGAACAGACACTTTTTTCTGGGGCTGGAGAATAGTTTATAGCTGGTAGAGCCTTTGCCTTCTCTCAGGATGAGGTTCCCAAGTTAACTATTGCCTAACATGATTGGGGGTGTGGGGGTGTGATGGCAAGGAGCAGGGCAGGTTGGCATTGGAAACCTGAAAGCAAATGGAACAGAAGAAGCGTTCCCTTATTCTTAAGGAGACTCTTCTTCTAGATGCTTCTTTTTGTCTTGGTTTGAGGAAATAATCCCAGGTTAAGTAGAAACACTTGAAGATATGCAAGGAACAGGAACAATGATACCTTGCCATTCATACCCGACTCGCTTGTCACTGCTTCTGGTCTCAAGGAAGCCCCAGCTACCCTGAGTGTCCCAGCTTCCTCAGCCACGCTGTCTGAGTTGGCTTGTCTGTGTTCTTTCTGCGCATCACCTGCCTGTGCATCAGCAGGTGATCCGATCTCTTCCTGGCCTTAGTCTTGGCTACAGTCATGGTCATTTGTGCCAGCTGGGAAGCAGCTGGCGGAGAAGCTGTGTCAGGAGCCCTGTCTGTAACAGGTTGGCTCACACGTCTAAGAATCCACCCGAGATGCCCTCACCTCGGGTGGGGTCTTTGGTTCAGGGAAAGGTACCCAGTAAGAAGGCTGGCGTGGGTACCACAGGGCCACAAGGCAGCTGGCACCCTTTGTGCCCTGATGTTTTGTCTTTTCCCTCTGTGTTTACCTGGACTTAACTGGGGTGGCAGGTCACAGCTGTTACTCGGTGCTGGCAGGCCATATTAACCAAATGCTGCCAACCAGGTGAGTCATACCAGGCTGTGGGGGCCAAAGAAGAAGAGTATGGCCAAGGGGGAGGGCTGGCCTCCTCTGGCTCTGCTTCTGTGCCTGACTTTTGTCTTGATAGCGGCTTTGGCACAGAGACAGGGTAATAAGGGCTGCCAGTGGTCAATTTGGGGCAGGTAGAAGGAACCTGGCCTGTATTTCCAGGAAAGAACCGCCAGCCCTACAGCCTGCCTGTGAAAGGTCGATTCTGGAGATAGGCCAGCTCCCAACTGAGAGAGCAAATGAATGGCAGACAATCAGAGGGACCATCTGCATGGGAGCACGGGAGAGAGAAGCAAATCCCTTTCCTTCTGGGTCGAGACTTATTTTTGTTGGTGGTGGTTGAGACAAACGCCCAGGACCTCGCTATACAATGTAGGCTGGCTTAGAACTCGCAGCAGTCTGCATGGGCCACCACGCCGGACGATATTCCTTTCCAAACATCCCCTAGGGAGAGCAGCCTCCTATGATGCAGGTTTAGAAGCCAAGGCTGTTGCTCTTCCGGTCCTGATGCAGTGCACCGACCCTGGGTCTGGGGGAACCCTCCCCGGCTGCAGGACTCAGCGGTCGCAAGAGGCACTAGGGGGCGCCCCTGCCCAGCTCAACCCTCACGGACGCGCCCGGCCTCGCAGGTTCCGAACGCGGTAGCGCTGCGGGCGCCTCCGAGGCGGGGCGGGGCCCCGGACCACAGGACCCTCTGCAGGTCTCCCAGCTGGGGACCGAGCCCTGCTGCTTGTCTCGTCCCTGTAGGAGCGAGGTCCTCGCCGAGGCCACGCTGATAACCCGTGCGTAGAAGCCTGGCCGAGGTGCGGTCCCCGGGAGGCGGTGTGCGCGGGCGGCGACACAAAGGTCTTTTAGACACCGCACCGCCGCCTTCCCTGCTGCACCCAGGCGGCAAGCCGGAGACTGGGAACGACTGCGCCAGCAGTCCTGGGGCTTCGCTCTAGGGGGCTCCAGGCCGTCGGGCAGGCTGGCTTGGACCCCACAATCGCGCGGGGAACGGGGCTCCAGGAGCTCCTTCCTTTTGTATAGAGAAGAAAGGGCCTTTCCCATCCCTGAGCACGGAGAGCCTGGCTCCCTAGGACTGCGTGCCCTGAATAGCAAGCTGGCTTCTCAGGGGTTGCAGTCCGGGCCCCACCCTGGGGAGCTCTGGACTGGTGCACTGTCTCTTCTGGCCAGGTATTTATTTGTCGGGGGCTGGGCAAGGGGCCCACAAAGCATCCCCGCAATGGGCTGCATCAACCCTGTCTGTGGGTTGTGCGTGAAAGACACATTCCAGAGCCCCACCTCATCGCTGGAGTGGAGTCCGTGGGAGGGCCCAGGAATCTGTATTTAGGGTAAATTATTGATGCCAGCGTGGGAGTCACTCTCCTAAGCTTTCAGGGCAGGGCAGGCTGTTGCAAAATTTCTCCTCCAAGAACCCAGGGGGACCCAGTTGTCACATCCCTCTATTTCCTGCGACACTTATTCTCTCTGTGGATAGAGTCTGCCTCAGCGCCTGTCTGCTTGAATTAGGCTCATTTTCTCCAGGGCCAATTTCTATAGAATGAGGAACCTGACTGAAGGAGGTTGGAGACCTGTTGGCTTTGTTCAGCCTCCAAATCCAACACTTGATGGTGTTCAATGGAATCAAAATCCATTCAAAACACTTGCTTGTCAAAGGAACGTCCTCTCTGGTAATGGCTAACCAGCTGCTTTTAGGATCTGGGAAGGAAAATCCCAGACAGGATCCTCAGGATCCTGGCAGGAAACAAAAACAAAAACAAAACAACAAAACCTCATCAAGTGCTGAAAGCCAGAGGATGCTATGGAGGAACACACAGCTTCCTCCTAGCTGACCCTTTCCCTTGGTTTCAGGATGAATTAAAATTCTTATCTGCTCCACATCCAGCCTTCCTGATTGATTGTTAGCAAAGGCTACAGTTTCCCAAGCTTTGTGGGGTTATTTTTGCCTCTGGGTGGGGATCATGACTTCCTTCCACAGTATTAGGTTCTACACAGGGACAGAAATGACTTAGCAGACACCCTTAAAGGGGGCAGGATAGGATGGACCCCCAAACCTACTTTCATTTTCTTCCGGTCTGGGTTGTGGGTAATTTCTTGACAACTATGAGAGAGAAGACAATGAGACATGAATTGTTTACAAATGCAATTGTGAACAGATGTATAACTCCCTGGCCTCAGAATGTCCTAGGACTGACTCCCTGCATCTCACCAAGGTGCTCATCAGGGCTGGTGGATCTCATTGGTGGATCTCAGCTTGTCCCAAGGACAGCACAGTGATAACCCGGGTCACCTTTGCTGTTTCGGGGCTTCTATATTTGGCAGTGTGAACAGACTGGCTTCCTTTTAGCAATTGATCTGAATAGCAGAATCCCTTTCTGATGGGCCTGGCACAATTTACAGGCTATGGGGAGGAGGGCTGTGCTAATGGGCCACTTGCCTCAACACTGGCTTTTAAGCAGTATTTTATACAGTAAACTTGTATTCTCTGCCTGGCAGGAAGCTGCCGACCCATCCAGGCCCTGGGCTCTCTTTGTTCTGACTTTATGGCATTTTTTGCCACAATAAGAAACACTGTGTACTCCATGGGGGCCCATTGTGCCAGGCTGCAAGGATGTGGGCCCTGTTGTATTACCAGAAGAACAGGGACTTTGTGACAGGCTGGGGACAAAACAAGGGTTGCTGGACACTGTTACTGGGCAACTCCCTGGCCTGGGTGGTGGCAGTGCTTGTCTGCAGGCTCTTTTCTATGCCCAAGGGAGGGCCAAGGGAGAGATGGGATTTTATCTAGAGTAGCAGTCCTGGTTACCTGTGAATTACACATTAGGACTGTGCTAACCTCTGCTGCCACATGCTCTGGGCCACTGAGGCAACCTCACCCTGCCACGAGATTCTGGGTCAAGTGCTGATGTCTATCAGCCCTCACACTAAGAATCCCTGTCCTGGTGAGCAGAGATCAACGGCTCAAACCTGGGCTTCCCATGTTTTGGGTAGATTTGACCCCTTGTGTCAAGAGCTTCTGGTTTTATAGGAATAGTATAAATGGGGATGGTCCATTGAGACAGGAAGAGACCTGTGGTGCCCTACCTGCCACCTAAGCCGGCCACTGTGCTCCCTGACTTCTGCCACTAGCCTGGCATTTTGCCTATTAACAGCACACCTGGGGCAGAGGATGAAGAAGGGCATTCTCTCCTGAAGACACCAATAATCAGAGACAAGAATCAGACCAGGAGGCAGGTCATGAAGAGGGTTCTGGGGGAGCTGATGATAGAGCATCCCATGTGGGTGTGAAAGGGAAATGTGTGAAAAGGGGGATCCATTTAATGTCTCCACCCAGGCTAGATTGTGCCCATCAGACTAGAGGGTGAGCTAGGCAGCATCAGCCAGTGGGCCCAGGAGATGCTCCCCCCGTAAGCACCTGATGTGAGGGAAGGAAGCTTGCTGCTGGGCACCTTCATAGAATAACTTCAGTGCTTCCTTCAACTGGACCACTACACCACACACACACACACACACACACACACACACACACACACGGGTGATTTATCATCCATGCTCCATGCTGGACTCTTATCTCTTTATGCCGCTGTAACAGCCATCCATCTGTTTTCTTCCAACCTACTCTCCAGGTGTCTACTGCACTTATTACTCAGAATGTCCTTGTTTGTCATCCCCAGGCTGGAAACTATCCAGTAGCATTCAGAGCCACACCCCAGCGCCCCGCTTTTACCTCAGACTCATTTCCTGCCAGGCCCTGCCATGAACCTTCTTGACAGTCTGAGTGTGCAGGGTTTTACACATCTCCATGATGCTATGTCTTCTTCTGTGTGGAATAT